GAAGAGCGTGTTAATCCAGTCTTTGCTTTACTGTGTGCAAAGTGTGCTACTGCCCCCTGAGCTTCCTGCATTTCTCTTTTCTTGGAAAACTGGTGCTGGATCCTTTCCCAAATAACCAGAGAAGAAATGAGGCAGAAAGTCTCTCTCCATCGCAGTTCCCTCAGTCCCGGGACTGATAGAAAAGGATGTAGCCAGACTCAGAGTTCTTTGAGATATCTGACGTCAACCCGTAGAATTCTTCGATAGCTTGTGCATCTATTTTCTGTGAGGCAAAACATAAACTTTAGTACAAAAACAAGCTCTTTGAACTGCTTAAATCCAATAAAATCTTCAACCTTTCTTAGAATAATGCCTTTCATTTTCTCATTCATAAAATAGCTCTGCACAATCCAAACGGCTTAAATTAGAAAGACGGATGATGCCAAGTATTGGTGAGAATGTGGAACAAATGGAACTCTCATTCATAGCTGGGAGGAATATAAAATGGCACAGATGCTGGGGAAAATGTTTAGCATCATCTTCTAAGGCTGAACATCCAATTACCCTGTGTGTGACCCAGCAAGTCTATTCCTGGGTATAGGCTGAACTATAGGAAACCACGAATTGTCAACCATTTGGGACCTAGAAAAATGGCTGCTTCATATGGTTCAATCTAAAACATACCCAAGAAAAATGAGGGCCTATGTCCAACAAAAGACTTGTACAAGGATAATCAAGGCAGTTTTATTTGTAATAGTCAACAATGGACAAAAAGTCAAGTTTCGAACGTGGTATAGCCGTACAATGGAAAATTAGACAGCAATAAAGAAAGAACTACTACTGCAGGCAACAAGATGGAGTTGCATAGGTACTGATGAGTGAGAAAAGCCAGACACAAAAGCAGTCACACTGAATGAGCCCACCTGTATTCAAACATAGGCAAAATTAATCACAGTAACATAATAAAATTCAAAACAGTGGATTCCAGAGGATGGTGGGTAGGGGAGGAAAGCTGTGGGTACTGACCAGGAGGAGGAATAAGGGAGCTTCTTGGGGTGTTGAAAATATACTATATCTTGATCTAGATGGCGGTTACGTGTGTGTGCGCATGTGTGCATTCACATGTAAAAATTTAAGTTGTTTAAAATTTGCACACTTTACTGTGCCTTATAGCTCAATAAGTTATTTTGTTAATAGTGTTTTGGGTTTTTTTTTTTTTTGCGGTATGCGGGCCTCTCACTGTTGTGGCCTCTCCCGTTGCGGAGCACAGGCTCCGGACGCGCAGGCTCAGCAGCCATGGCTCACGGGCCCAGCCGCTCCGCTGCATGTGGGATCTTCCCGGACCGGGGCACGAACCTGAGTCCCCTGCATCAGCAGGCGGACTCTCAACCACTGCACCACCAGGGAAGCCCTAGTGTTTTATTTTAAACTAGCTCTGTTGTTGAAAGATTTCCCTTGTTTTATTCTAAACATTTTTTTAAATTTTATTTATCCTTCTATCTATCTATCTATCTATCTATGGCTGCACTGGATCTTCGTTGCTGCACGTGGGCTTTCTCTAGCTGTGGCAAGCAGGGGCTGCTCTTGGTTGCTGTGCAGGTGTGAGGGCTTCTCATTGAGGTGGCTTGTCTTGTTGTGGAACACAGGCTCTAAGCACGCAGGCTTCAGTAGTTGTGGCATGCGGGCTCAGTAGTTGTGGCTCGCGGGCTCTAGAGCGCAGGTTCAGTAGCTGTGGTGCACAGGCTTACGTGCTCCGCAGCACGTGGGATCTTCCCGGACCAGGGATCAAACCCGTGTCCCCAGCACTGGCAGGCGGATTCTTAACTGCTGTGCCACCAGGGAAGTGCCTATTCTAAACATTTTTTTTTTTTTTTGCGGTACGCGGGCCTCTCACCGCCGCGGCCTCTCCCATTGCTGAGCACAGGCCCCAGACGCGCAGGCTCAGCGGCCACGGCTCACGGGCCCAGCCGCTCCGCGGCACGTGGGATCCTCCTGGACTGGGGCACGAACCCGTGTCCCCTGCATCGGCAGGCAGACCCCCAACCACTGCGACACCAGGGAAGCCCTCTGAACATCTTAAAGGTTAGCTGAACATTATAGCAATGGGAGTGGATGTTAGGGAGCAATAAGTAGAAATTAGACTACAATCTGAAGACCTGTCATATACAATGAGAAGCTGGAAGGAAAAAGTCAAGAGCAAAATACACACACAACTTTGAAGAAAAACAAGAAATTAGGAAACTACTTACTTCTACAATGTCGTCATCAAACAACAACCAAAAATCATGACTCTTAACTATTGCAATATAATGGCCTCGATTGGGACCACTAAAACAAAGAGAAATAAAAGTTAATTTTATACAAAGTTTATTAGCACTGCTCTTCTATGCCCTATATTCCACGTTCTATAAAGTAGAAAAACTGAAACAGATAACAATATTCCTTACCTATTCTTTCCCCCAAAAGATCAAGCTACATTGATCTGAACTGGCATTCAATTTTAAGACCAAATAATCGGTACTCTACTTTGAGAGATATAACCAGTATTCTCTTTACATAAAGCTATACTATAAAATTCTTTGTTGCCTTTTTAAAATTATTATTATTATTATTTTTTTTTTTTTGCGATACGCGGGCCTCTCACTGTTGTGGCCTTTCCCGTTGCGGAGCACAGGCTCCGGACACGCAGGCTCAGCGGCCATGGCTCACGGGCCCAGCCGCTCCGCGGCATGTGGGATCCTCCCGGACCAGGGCACGAACCCGTGTACCCTGCATCAGCAGGCGGACCCTCAACCTCTGAGCCACCAGGGAAGCCCTAAAATTATTATTATTTTTTAAAATTTTTTAAATTTTATTTTTATTTATTTATTTATTTTAAACGGTATGCGGGCCTCTCACTGTTGTGGCCTCTCCCGTTGCGGAGCATAGGCTCCGGACGCGCAGGCTCAGCAGCCATGGTTCATGGGCCCAGCCGCTCCGCGGCATGTGGGATCTTCCAGGACTGGGGCACGAACCCGTGTCCCCTGCATCAGCAGGCGGACTCTCAACCACTGCGCCACCAGCGAAGCCCTGAAATTATTATTTTTGAAGTAATTTTCCAATTTGCTTCTATAAAAGATTTAAATAAAAATTTCTAGCATTTCTGGGGGCGAGGAGAGGTGATCACAGCCAGAACATGCTGAATTAAACTACAAAACAATGCACGAAGAATTATTTCTGAGTCTTAACCCTTGGCAATAGTTTTTGTCGAGGAAAGATTCCATGTGATGCTTGAAAAAGTAAAGATATCAAATCCTTGGCTCTGAAATCAAGCTCCAACTTCATAAACTTCTTTAAACAAGTGACTTTTTTTAGTATTATTAGTGCTAGCTTTAAGTACTTAACTCTTAGCACCACTGTAATTATTATAATTGCCTCTGCATCTCATTTTCAACAAATCTGGAATACAGAAATCTAGAAAAATGTAAAAATAAAGGTGGGATTATTTCTTTTAAAAGAAATTCTTTTTTTTTTTTGGCTGTGCCTCGTGTCTTGCAGGATCTTAGTTCCCTGACCAGGGATCGAACCCCGTGTCCCCTGCAGTAGAAGCACATAGTCCTAAGCACTGGACCCCCAGAGAAGTCCCTAAAAGAAATTCTTTACAAAGAACACGTCAAAGATTTTTAACCTCTCCCAGTCTAAGTATGACTCACTATAAAAGCTTATATATACTTTTTAAATCAAATTATAATTCTACCACAATTATTATATTACAGACTTTGAAGTAATTTTCAAAACAGATTATTCTTTATGGTGAATACTATTTTAAAAGTAGAAACCTCAGATATCAGAATAAGCTGCCTCCAAGTTTCCTCAGATCTTTGATTCCATAGTTGAGATGAATATCTTAGGTGACAAAATGACACAAAGAGAGTACTTTTTCACTGTAGAGGAAAATAGCTCAAAACTTAACAAAAAACACCACTTTTAAAGCTAGAATAAACCTCCAGTCTGATCATTACACCAGGGTTCTGTAAGGTACCCGATATCGTTTTCCTCTGTTCAGATGTCATCACTCTTTCTTTAGAAACATAATGCTCCAAAAATGGAAAACAAAGATTATTGCTGAGGATAAGAGGCAGGAGATGGGCTGACACAGACCATGGAGGTTCAAGACTGTGACAGAGGTGGACTCCCTCCCAGCTGTCCTGACATATTCTGAGCAGAAAGCTGGGAGAGGGAGGGACAGCTAAGGAGAGTCTGGAGTACAACACGCTGTTAGTACCAAGTTTCCAACAGCCAGGGGGAAAAGGATGAGTGACCTGTTTTAAAATTATTACAGGAGGAAATTCCCTGGAGGCCCAGGGGTCAGGACTCGGCACTTTCACTGCCAGGGCCTGGGTTCCATCCCTGGTCGGGGAACTAAGATCCCACAAGCTGCACAGTGCGGCCAAAAATAAATAAATAAATAATAAAATTATTACAGGAAATTCTAAATAGTCAATGAAGACTGTACGTTCCGAATATAAATGTTGATTATGTGACACTCTGTGGTTTGAGAATTTTTTGAGCTATTTTATAAATTAAGATCTATAGATGAGATAGTACACTATATTGGCTAACAGGAGACAAACACACGGACTTATAAAATCAGAAAGCTTATCTTTGAAGATTATCTCCAAAACCTTTTTAAAGTGTTTTTCACAATCATTAACATGATGAACATATCCAATTAATCTCAGAAATAACTTATTTTATAAAATCTCTTTAAGCAGTGTTTTTTTTTTTTACCGATAATCAAGAAAAAAGGAAACGAAAAACTAACAGGACTTAAAGTTCCCAGAATAATACTTAAATAATAAGAACAAGTATCAAATCCAGTCACTAACACACTATTTTAATATATAAAGATTTTAAGAAGGAAATGGTAAAATGTATCTGAAATATCCATTTGAAATAAACTTATTTTTGTCCTACAACACCGAGGGCTACAGAAACCTCCGAAAGGCCTGCATATCCGAGCATCCTGTGTGTGAACTTGCCCACCACCGAGCATCTTGCCACCATGGCCCACGGCCCTATTACCTTCCACAGTGAACCACGACGGCCACGAGGTCGTACATTCTGTCAGGATTGGTTGCATCGCCTGAAGTGTTAAATAGACGAAGTTCTAAAGGAAAAACTACCCGGTAAGAAAGTTTTGTATATCGATGAAGTTGATCCATATATTTAAATCTCTTCAGATGCAGAGCTAGAATCATAGGCAGCTTTTTAACTTTCATCCTGTTGAAATAAACATGAAAACAAAATTTCCTAAGACATTCACCATGACCTTAAAAGAATTATCAAACTTCACGATTCAAGTAACAGTTGATAGTTTTCATAGCCTGGCACTGCCCACTTTTGCATATTTCTCTACCCATGACTTTTGTATTAGCAAAGCAAACTTCTGAAAGTCTTAAGACGGCCCCTGCCCCCCCATCATCACCAAACCACATAATCGGACACAGCACTCGGTACGGCTCCCAAAGAGATATGATGGTACATTCCTTTATTAAGAACTCTGTACTTCTGAAATATAGGTCACTGTGCCAGCTGCAGGAAAAACCAGTTCCTTAAGGCCGCTCACTCCTTCGGAGGTGAATGGAGGCTGAGATCCATTTGTTCTATTCAGCTATATAATTCAGTAACAGACTGAGAGCAGGAGACAGTGAGAAAAGCATTAAAGACCATCCATCCATTAAAGGCGTTTGCCAGAGACAAGGAACAGCTCCTTCGTAAGAGCAGTGGCTGCGTGCATCCTGGAAAGGGAATAAAATAACCTGGAACGCAGGAGTGAAACTTTCACCTGTAAAGCACGGGCTTCCCCATCCTCAAATGCCCTGAAGGACCCCTCCGGGAAGCCTCTCCCCCATTTCACTTCAGCGCCAACGCTTGATATTCTGGCACAAATAGCTGTTCTCCTCAACCCTCCATCAGCACTTTACACATTCACTTCACATCTGTACAGTTTATTACACTATAGAACATTTAGATGATTATGGGTCTTTCTCTTCTAGGGTCTGGACTCCGGACAGACAGAAACCATCTCTTTTATTATATTTCTCCACCTAGCACACGTAGGTACTTGACAAACACTACAGAACTGAATTCTGTGTGTTCAGTGAAGCAAAACACTTTTCATAATTAAAAAATGAAATTTATTAAACCTCTGCCTCTAATGAAGTGAAAACAAATCATTTTATAGCATTATTCTAGACCTGCATTCTACAGATCTTAAATGTGGTGCGGCAGCTTATTATTCCAGAAATGTTTATTAACCTGGCTTTTGGAAAACATTAGCGAAAATAAATGTAAAACCTAATCATTCCTGGAAAGCAATCTAGCAATATGAATCAACAGCCTTTATGTCCTTTGCCTCAGTAATCGAAATTAAATATATCATCTCAAATACAAGACTTCTGAGAAGAATTCAGTTCTGGAGTTATTTTATATTGTGAAAAAGTGGGAGAATCCTAGCTATTCAACAACATGAAACGCTGAAATACATTACAATACAAACACAAGAGAATATTTTACAACTTCAAACAATGTTGTTGAAAGTTTCTAAATGGCATGGGAAAATACGTACGGAAAGTAAAAAAGTCAAGATATATATTTATATATACAGTGATCCAACTCTTAAACATCAGATGTTCAATCAAACTGGTACAGAGTTGCTAAAACCAACTCTTTCAAAACAATAAAAGCAAACTATCCTTTGAAAATGTCCAGTGAGGTGCAAACCCACAAGGATTTTTCTAAGTGTTAAATATGTTAGTAGTGTATTAGGTACAGTCAATAAAGATTAGGAAGAGGAGACAGATATGGCCTGGGGGTTAGGAAAAACGTGCTTTTAGAAATTAAGCCAGAGCAGAGGGGGAAAAGCCCAAATGGAGAAAAGAGAACATGTCCAAATGCTGGCTTATAAAATACACCCCATCAGACAACACGGGAGGAACACGAATCCTCCCAGCAGCACTTCGTCCCAGAGGAAACCCAACACTTGTGAAGAGACACAGGATAAAGTCAAACACAAACATGTGTGGAGCCACATTTTAAAGATGATGAGAGACTATCCCACAAAATTTTTCTCATACTGAAATGGCTCAGGAAGAAATGAACACATATATAAGCTGAGTCAAATTCATTCTGGAGACTGTGCAGCAGAAGGAAGAACAAAGAAGTTGATTTCCTGCTTGAAACACCAATTCCACCAACACACCAAGGAATTGATAGGATTCTTGTTTTCCTTCCGTTCAAACATGTGTGGAGAAAGGTGACCTTAGGGAGCTCTTGATCTCTGTCACTGTTGTTAAAAAAGTGGTCTCAGAATGTAATGTTTTCTCCAAAAGATAAATATGCTGAAGAAAAAAATGGGAGGACAGAGAACTTTTTTTTCCTTTTTAGTTAAAGTTTGAAATAGACATTGATTTTTTAAAAAATATTGATTTATTTATGCACGCACGCACGCACGCACGCATGCATGCACGCTGTGCCGGGTCTTAGTTGCAGCACGTGGGATCTAGTTCCTTGACCAGGGATCGAACCCAGGCCCCCTGCATTGCGAGCACAGAGTCTTAAGCCCTGGACCACCAGGGAAGTCCCCGACATTGATTTTTATCTTCTGTAAACTGACTTATAAATTAATTTTCCATTTAGATTTTTTTAAATGGCATTTACCTACTAAACAATGATTAAAATTTGGATGAATTTATGATATACATTTTCTTCCTTTTACATCTTTAAAACAATAGGTGTGTTCATTTTGCACTAACATAAGAGGTATTTACCTTCCTATTATCTAATTATAATCAGATAATATCTAATCATAATTTAAAACTATTTTTAAAAAGTAGAAGGATGGAAAAAGACATTAACAAAGTCAGCAAAGCTGGCTCTGGCTAATTCTAATATCAGACAAAGTAGAACCCAAGCCAAGGAGTGTTACTAGAGATAAAGAAGGACATTCCAAAAAAAAAAAAAAAAAAAGAAGGACATTCCATAATAAAGAGGGCCAACTAATCAAGAGGACACAATCTTCAAGTACCAAATACCAAATTTGATAGAATTAAAGAAATAAACAGATAAGTGCACAGAGTTAAAGTCTTTAACAGACTTCTCTAAGAAAAAAGTCAGTAGGAATAGGGAAGGTATGAACAATCAAATTATGGATCTAATCAACATTTATGGAACACTCCATTTCAAACTGAAGAATATATGTTCTTCTCAAGTACAACTGGACATTCATTAATGTACTGGACAATGAAAGAAGTCTCAATAACTTCCAAAAGACAGAGATCACAGGATATATTTTCCTGACAAAAATTAAAAAACAGGGCTTCCCTGGTGGCGCAGTGGTTGAGAGTCCTCCTGCCGATGCAGGGGACACGGGTTCGTGCCCTGGTCCGGGAAGATCCCACATGCCGCGGAGCGGCTGGGCCCGTGAGCCATGGCCGCTGAGCCTGCGCGTCCGGAGCCTGTGCTCCGCAACGGGAGAGGCCACAACAGTGAGAGGCCCGCGTACCGCAAAAAAAATAAATTAATTAAAAAATAAAAATAAAATAAAAAACAAAAAAATAGCAAAAAGCCCTGAAATATGGAAACTAAGCTATATACTTCTAAATAATCCATGGGACAAAGACAAAATCATAAGGGAAATTACAATAGAGTTTTAAATGGATGATAACGCAAATACAACATGTTAAAATTTGTGGGAACACAGCCAAAGCAGCGTTTAGAGGAAAATTTATAGCTTTAAGTTTTTATATTAGAAAAGAAAAAGGGCAAGTCTTGACCACACAGAAAAGCTTAATAATCGTACATAAAGTTCCACAGTTTCCTCTTATAAACTTAATGTCAAGCACGACTAACTGGGGTACATGGTGCTGGGGGTGAGGGGAACGCGACCTATGACCATGCGTGACTGTCAGCAGACATTTAAGTTGCTTCCACCTCTTCTTGGTTATTGTAAATACTAGAGCAATGAACATGGGAATGCACATATCTCTTTGAAAATCCTGTTATCAGTTCTTTTGGATACATACTTAGAAGCAGAATGCTGGATCATACGGTAATTCTACTTTTAATATTTTTGAGGAAGCTTCACACTGTTTTCCACAGTGGCTGCAACATTTTACATTTCCACCAACAATGCACAGTTCCCTTTTCTGCACATCCTCATCAACACTCATTATTTTCTCTTTGTATTTGAAAGTGGCCATCCTAACTAATGTGAGGTGGTATCTTACTGTGGTTTTGATTTGCATTTCCCAGATAATTAGTTATGTTATCTTTTCATATGCTTGTTGGCCATCTGTATGTCATCTCTGGAGAAATGTTTACTCAAGTCCTTTGCCCAATTTTTAATCGGGTGATTTGGTTTCTACTGTTGAGTTGTGTGAGTTCTTTATATTCTGGATATTATTAACCTCTTATCAGATATCTGGTTTTCAAATATTTTCTCCCATTCTGTTAATATTCTGCAAATATTTTCTCCCCTTCATGTCATTTCGTTCCGTTGTGTCCTTTGTTGCACAGAAGTTTTTAAGTTTGCTATAGTCCCTTTTTTATCTGTTTTTGCTTTTGTTGCTTGTGCTTTTGGTGTCATATTCAAGAAATCACTGCCATACTCAACATCGTGAGGCTTTTTTTCCCCCTATGTTTTCTTCTAAGAGTTTTATAGTTTCAGGTGTTATGTTTAGGTCTTTAACCAATTTTGAGTTAATTTTTGTGAATGGTATGAAGTGAGGATCCAACTTCAATCTTTTGCATGTGGATACCCAGTTTTCCCACCACCATCTGTTGAAGATCATTGAGCATATAAATGCAGGTTTATTTCTGGGGGGCAGGGGTGCGGTGATAAGCCTGGCTACCTACAGGGGCACTGACCAAACTATTAAATATATAAGGATAATGGGAGCCAATCTGTACTGTCAGAGGAGGGGCTTACAAATATTAAAAAGGAGAAAACCAGAATAAACCCTATGGTGTTGGATGAAACTGGAGGTACTGTTGTGAATTTGTGGTTTTTCGATACAGACAGACCAAGAGATATATAAGTACAGATGTAAATGTGCGTACATATGTACACACACGAGCACGCATGTCCTCCAGCTCTGTTCACTAAGTGGGCCCAGGAACAGTGACACGGCAATGGCAACAAGCACACCTATACCACGGTCCTGGTTTTTAAACGTTATTCTCCCCCTAAGAGGAACCAGGGCTCCTTCGAGAAACGGCTGGTACCAGTGTGGGGGGCAAGGAAGGTACAAAGTGAGCCTGGACATCTTGTTGCACTACAGAGTAAAGAGGGGCTGGAGAATGAAGGGACGGGGCAAAAGACACAGGAGGCAGCGGGAAGGGGCTCCTGCTGGCCAAATCGGGATAATGTGAACATGAAAATAAACGAGACAATCATTACCCACGGGATAAAACGGGAATCTCTGAATCCTCACTGAGATTTAAAAAATGAAAAAAACTGTAAATATCCCCATTTCTCATCAAACTTTCAATCTCAAAATACATATGAATTACAACTGGGGAAAAGCACAGCTTCACAGTGAAGAATCCTGGGAGACAGCACCTTAGTCAAGTGTCCAAAGAGAACAGCACCAGTCACGGGATGTGCAAGACAGAGTCCCAGAGCAGGCCTCAGACTGTCCTCGGAAAGGCCGGGTGCAAGGATGGTCCTGGGCTAACATCTGGGAACTTGATTAGGGGGTGTCCCCACTGTTCCCTAACTGACAAGCATGTCTTGATGCACCTGAGAACTGTCTGTGCAAATCACATGGTTTATGCTGAACATCTGCTTTCCTTCCGGGAGCCTGGAATTTTGGTACATGTCAGGCAGAGGATGCCTACATGTCCAGTCCCCAATAAATCTCGGCCACCGAGTTGGTGATGAGCTTTCCTGGGAGACAACACTTCTCCCATGTTGTCACATTTGATGCTGGAGGAACTAAGTATATCTGTGTGACTCCACGGGGACAGGACTCTTGCAAGGTGGCCTGGCTTCCCCTTGGCTGATTGTACTTGTCCCCTTTCCCTGTAATAAATCTCAGCTGTGAGCACGACTATATACGCTGAGTCCTGCAAGTTCTTCTAGTCAATCACCAAATCCAGGAGTGTCTTGGGAACCCTGACACTTGACACATGTTAGAATCGTGTGATATTTAAAAGAACACAATGAGAAGAACACAGCATCACTTCTGTGTGATTCCTGCCCAAAATACATAACCTGAACCTAATCATACAAAAACATGAGACAAACCCAAAGAAGAACATTCTATAAAATAACTCATCTGTAATTTTCAAGCGCCAAGATAATGAAAGTCAAGAAAAGACTAAGGAACTGTTCTAAATGTAAAAAAGACTAAAGAGACATGAATACTAAATGCAATGTGTAATTCTGGACTGGATCCTTTTTTCTGTAAAGGACACTATTGGGATATCTGGTGACACTAAAATAAGGTCTACGATAACAGTAACACATCAGTGTTACTTTCCTGACCTGGATGGATACAGTACATAGGAGACTTCCTTTTTGGTAGGAAACAGCTACCCAAGTGTCCAGGATCTTGGGACATCATATCAGGAACTCATTCTCAAATGGTTCAGGGTAAAAAAAACATTGTTAGTATTGTTCACGCAACTTTTCTGAGCTTGATTCAAAATAAAAAGTAAAATAATCAGGATGATGATGATGATGATGATGATGATGATGATGATGATTCAATTCCTTGATACCAAAACACCGTCTTTATAATAATATACTGAGAGAAGGTACAAAATCCTATGTAGGAACAGTGGACACTAGAGTGAGGGTGAGTAAATTACCTTCCCCTCATCCTTCCTCACCAAGAAAAAGTTTACATAATCAAGAAAGCTTCAAAGCAAAATATTTTAACTGTATTGTTTTGTGATTATTAAACAATCACTAAATGCAGAAAATCACCTGATTTTCTACAGAGTTGAATACTGTTTATCTAGTAATTACCTAATGAGTCTGAGCTGTTGGTGATAAAAGAAAGAATGTTTTCTCGTTGCAAATTGTCACAGATCGCTTTCAGCTAGAAAAGCCCATCCACAACACTGCCAAAGAATCACTATAAACGTTAAAAACACTAACTTACCGTTTGTGCGCTTCCTGTTTGCTGCGGCATTCTTCACAGTAGTATTTGTATTCACTGCATAGAGTTTCTGTGTTGCTAAAACCCCTGTGTAAAACACAAAATAATTTTGTCTATACCAGAAAATTATGTATTCATTTAAAAATATTCTAAACCCAAAGACAGTCATTACATGTCAAAATAAATAACTCTGCACTTACCTTAAGCAGTGAGTAATGGATGTGTTTTGTTCCACGTCAACAGAAAGGTCTAAAAAATCTTCATCTTTGCTGCTTATCTATAAAAATAGGGAAATACCTTTGATTTCTTTTTTCTTAAACATCTTCATTGGAGTATAATTGCTTTACAACCTTTGATTTCTTTAATCACTGTTCCAAAATGACAGAATTAAGTGCACTCTATTATTAGTATTATTAAGTATAATTAAGTATATAAAGAATCCTTTTTCCCCCAAGTTATTCAAAAGGACACTGAATGAATAACTTTCATTATATGTAGAGGTAAAACACCAAAGGGCACCTGTGACTGATTTTCTTACTGACAAAGGCTAGTGTGATGTGAAATTCCATTACTTCTCCTAATCTTGGTAATACTGTGAAGCATAAAACTGTACCATATACACTATTTCTTAAAAAGCACAGGCCAGGACTGAATGAGAATGTTTGGCAAAGGATGTGATATCTGTATTGTTTTATCATTTAAGAAAAAAATTTAGCCCAAAATGCCAAACTGTAATCTTCACTTATGACTTTATTTCCCCCCAAAATTGAACAATGTTCTGTTTGAATTACGAATAAATCATCTTATAAAAATGAAGTTACTATTTATTCATCTGAACTGGAGTAGGACAGAACTTTAGTCATCACTTTTCCTACGTGCAAGGAGACGACGCGATGCAATGGGAGGGACCTCCGGCTCGGTTCCCGGGGCCTCCCACTCGCAACGACTCTACACCCGTTGACGGTTTGTGATGACTTTTCAATACAACATCAAAAGCATTTAAAGAACATCGAAAGCATTTCCATGAAGGAAAAAAACTGGACTTTATTAAAATTAAAATTTAATACTTAAGATTAAAAACTTCTCATCTACCAAAGACACGGTTCAGAGGATGAGAAGACAAGCCACAGACTGGGAGGAAATCTCTGCAAGAGACACACCTGATAAAGGACTGGTATCCAAAATATACAAAGAACTCTTAAAACTCAACAACAGGAAAACAAACAACCTGATTTTAAAAATGGGTCAAAGACCAGTACAGATAACTCACCAAAGAAGATCTATAGATGGCAAACAAGCACATGAAAAGAGGCTCCACAGCATATGTCATCAGGGAAATGCAAATTAAAACAAGACACCACTACACATCTACAGTAGAACAGCTAAAATCCAAAACGCTGACGACAGCACCCACTGATAAGGATGTGCAGCAACAGGAACTCTCACTCACAGCTGGCGGGAATGTGCAGTGGTGCAGCCACGCTGGTAGCTCCCCACACAACTAAACATACTCTTCTTACCACACGATCCAGCAACTGTGCTCAGTGCTGTACTAACCAAAGAGGCTGAGAAGTTATGCCCACACAAAAACCTGCACATGCACGTTCATAACAGCTTTGTTCATAATTATCAAAACTTGGAAGCAAACTACACGTCCTTCAGTAGGTGAATGGATAAACTCTGGTACCTCCAGACAATAAATCGTAATTCAGCAGTAAAAAGAAATGAGCTATCAAGCTGTGAACGGACATGCAGGAACCTCAAATACACACTGCTAAGTCAAAGAAGCCAATCTGAAAAGGCTGCATACTCTACGATTCCAACCACATGGCATCTGGAAAAGGCAAAACTATGAAGGCAGTAAAACAACCAGTGGCTGCCAGGGGTTGAGGAGGAGGGAAACAGGAATCCGTGGAGCACAGAGTGAAACCACTCTGCAGGATACTGTAGTGACTTGACACATCATCATACATTTGTCAAAACAAAGAGAAATCAAAGAACAGACAGCACCAAGAATGAACCCTTATGTAAACTATGGATTTTAGATAATAACCTATCGACACTGGCCCATCAACTGCAACAAATATATCTTACTAATGCCAAGGATGTTACCATTAGGGGGAAGTGGGGAGGGGGCAATTTGGGAACTCTCTGTACTTTAAAAAAAAAAAAAAAAAAAAAAAAAAAGACAGTTCCTTATTAGTCTCTGCCAGTATAAGCTCATCTGATTCAGTTAACGAGTAGACTATGTTATTCTTTCCAACACCCATAAAGCATCTCCCTTACTCTTCCAGCTTGTGGACTCTTCCAGCTTGTGGACTCTTCCAGCTTGTGGACTCTTTTTTCCAGCTTGTGGACTCTTTTTTCCAGCTTGTGGCCTCTTTTTTCCAGCTTGTGGCCTCTTTTTTCCAGCTTGTGGCCTCTTTTTTCCAGCTTGTGGCCTCTTTTTTCCAGCTTGTGGCCTCTTTTTTCCAGCTTGTGGCCTCTTTTTTCCAGCTTGTGGCCTCTTTTTTCCAGCTTGTGGCCTCTTTTTTCCAGCTTGTGGCCTCTTTTTTCCAGCTTGTGGCCTCTTTTTTCCAGCTTGTGGCCTCTTTTTTCCAGCTTGTGGCCTCTTTTTTCCAGCTTGTGGCCTCTTTTTTCCAGCTTGTGGCCTCTTTTTTCCAGCTTGTGGCCTCTTTTTTCCAGCTTGTGGCCTCTTTTTTCCAGCTTGTGGCCTCTTTTTTCCAGCTTGTGGCCTCTTTTTTCCAGCTTGTGGCCTCTTTTTTCCAGCTTGTGGCCTCTTTTTTCCAGCTTGTGGCCTCTTTTTTCCAGCTTGTGGCCTCTTTTTTCCAGCTTGTGGCCTCTTTTTTCCAGCTTGTGGCCTCTTTTTTCCAGCTTGTGGCCTCTTTTTTCCAGCTTGTGGCCTCTTTTTTCCAGCTTGTGGCCTCTTTTTTCCAGCTTGTGGCCTCTTTTTTCCAGCTTGTGGCCTCTTTTTTCCAGCTTGTGGCCTCTTTTTTCCAGCTTGTGGCCTCTTTTTTCCAGCTTGTGGCCTCTTTTTTCCAGCTTGTGGCCTCTTTTTTCCAGCTTGTGGCCTCTTTTTTCCAGCTTGTGGCCTCTTTTTTCCAGCTTGTGGCCTCTTTTTTCCAGCTTGTGGCCTCTTTTTTCCAGCTTGTGGCCTCTTTTTTCCAGCTTGTGGCCTCTTTTTTCCAGCTTGTGGCCTCTTTTTTCCAGCTTGTGGCCTCTTTTTTCCAGCTTGTGGCCTCTTTTTTCCAGCTTGTGGCCTCTTTTTTCCAGCTTGTGGCCTCTTTTTTCCAGCTTGTGGCCTCTTTTTTCCAGCTTGTGGCCTCTTTTTTCCAGCTTGTGGCCTCTTTTTTCCAGCTTGTGGCCTCTTTTTTCCAGCTTGTGGCCTCTTTTTTCCAGCTTGTGGCCTCTTTTTTCCAGCTTGTGGCCTCTTTTTTCCAGCTTGTGGCCTCTTTTTTCCAGCTTGTGGCCTCTTTTTTCCAGCTTGTGGCCTCTTTTTTCCAGCTTGTGGCCTCTTTTTTCCAGCTTGTGGCCTCTTTTTTCCAGCTTGTGGCCTCTTTTTTCCAGCTTGTGGCCTCTTTTTTCCAGCTTGTGGCCTCTTTTTTCCAGCTTGTGGCCTCTTTTTTCCAGCTTGTGGCCTCTTTTTTCCAGCTTGTGGCCTCTTTTTTCCAGCTTGTGGCCTCTTTTTTCCAGCTTGTGGCCTCTTTTTTCCAGCTTGTGGCCTCTTTTTTCCAGCTTGTGGCCTCTTTTTTCCAGCTTGTGGCCTCTTTTTTCCAGCTTGTGGCCTCTTTTTTCCAGCTTGTGGCCTCTTTTTTCCAGCTTGTGGCCTCTTTTTTCCAGCTTGTGGCCTCTTTTTTCCAGCTTGTGGCCTCTTTTTTCCAGCTTGTGGCCTCTTTTTTCCAGCTTGTGGCCTCTTTTTTCCAGCTTGTGGCCTCTTTTTTCCAGCTTGTGGCCTCTTTTTTCCAGCTTGTGGCCTCTTTTTTCCAGCTTGTGGCCTCTTTTTTCCAGCTTGTGGCCTCTTTTTTCCAGCTTGTGGCCTCTTTTTTCCAGCTTGTGGCCTCTTTTTTCCAGCTTGTGGCCTCTTTTTTCCAGCTTGTGGCCTCTTTTTTCCAGCTTGTGGCCTCTTTTTTCCAGCTTGTGGCCTCTTTTTTCCAGCTTGTGGCCTCTTTTTTCCAGCTTGTGGCCTCTTTTTTCCAGCTTGTGGCCTCTTTTTTCCAGCTTGTGGCCTCTTTTTTCCAGCTTGTGGCCTCTTTTTTCCAGCTTGTGGCCTCTTTTTTCCAGCTTGTGGCCTCTTTTTTCCAGCTTGTGGCCTCTTTTTTCCAGCTTGTGGCCTCTTTTTTCCAGCTTGTGGCCTCTTTTTTCCAGCTTGTGGACTCTTTTTTCCAGCTTGTGGACTCTTTTTTCCAGCTGACCCCGCTACTCTCCTCTGCTATTAAAAACTAGCAGTACAACCATCACAGTAAAGCCTGGACTGGGCAAAAACCATCAGTGAATGCTAAGTCTGGGGGCAGATTTTGATGGGGAACAAGAATATCTGTGTCTCCCACAGTCTGCCTACTAGTTACAAGGGCATAAAAAACAGTCACTATGAAGTGGAGAAACTGAACAACGTCGTGAATCGGAGATCAAAATTCATTTTATCAACGAGGGGCAGAAGGAACTGTGTGCCTGTATGTGATATCCTGACGAGGACACATTAACTATGAATTGTTCCGGCCAAGAATGTACAAACTGGGGCTTACCTGGCGGCGCAGGGGTTAAGAAACCGCCTGCCAATGCAGGGGGACACAGGTTCGAGCCCTGGTCCGGGAAGATCCCACATGCCACGGAGCAACTAAGCCCATGCACCAGGACTACTGAGCCCACGTGCTGCAACTACAACTACTGAAGTCCGTGTGCCTAGGGCCCGTGCTCCACGACAAGACATACCACCGCAATGAGAAGCCCGCGCACCAAAACAAAGAGTAGCCCCCGCTTGCCACAACCAGAGAAAGCCAGCGTGCAGCAACGAAGACCCAATGCGGCCAAAAATAAAAAATTAATTAATAAAAGAAAAGAAAAAAGAATGCACAACCTGCATCTAATTAGAAGGAAACATCAGGCAAACCTGATACGAGGAATGTTAGATTAAAAGGGGGAGGGGCACAGTCTTTAAAAATGTAAGTATCATAAAAGACAAGAAGACTATGAACATGTTCCAGATTGCAGGAGGCTAAAGGAAGCATGGTGACCACATGCGATGCAAACCACTCAACTCTAAAACCAGACCCTGTGCTGAGAGGAGGCTGTGCTGTAAAGGGGGTCACCGGCAGAACTGGATAGAGGTGCCTAAGTAAGAGTCTGACCTTTCATTCGTCAAGGGAGAACAAGGTAAGAACTTAACAGGAGGCCTGCGTTATCCGACCCTACGAGTAAATCGCTTTCAAGAGATTTGCCTACTGCTCATCTTTACAAACTACCCAGCAAGTGGGTAGTTTCCCTCCTTGAGTGTGCACAGGAGGCTTCAGTTTTTATTCCAACCATAAACAACAAACATAATTGTAGGAAAAGCAGCAACAAATTAATATACTTCCCTGACCTGCAGGTTTCTCACAAGCTCAACTAAGACTATAATTTCCAGAATATGGCTCTATGGTCTCCTGCAGTGAAACAAACTCAAATAGTTCAAACGGCAGCAAGTATTTCTCTGCCACCTCAGTATTCACTATTAACAAGCAGACAACTGAGAGGCACATCTGTCACAGTCATATACTCTACACCTGAGGATTACAACTTCCCAGTTCATCTCTCATACCCATTCTCAAAGAACACTTAATATAATGGATTAGATTTGTTCGATACGAAATTTTATGATATACTTACAGTTTCACAAGTAAGACATCTGGTTTCATTAGTTAATGTTCCCTGAAAAATCTCATGAACCCACGTTGGGTCTGGTGTGCTGTTGTTATTTTCACTGTCAATATTACCGTTGGGCAAACGACCATTTTGTTTTTCCTGCTTTCTCTCTTCTTGTAAAATATCAGCAATCGTGTTTAGTAGGTAATTTAAGAATTCATGGGCATCTTGCTGCATGTAGTTGTCAAAAAGCTCTAAAAATAAGAATATTTCAGAATTAATAACGTCATTAAAAAACCAAATTTAAAAGAAGAATAGTATTCTATCAGAACTAAGTGAAGTGTTTGGAACTGTTAGAGTAATGTACAAGAAATAGGTATCTTTCACATATACTCATTATGACTGAATTTGGAGAAAATAAAGTTATGATGAAAGAGAATCTTTAAAAAAATACTAATAGATCAATGAGAAAAGAGCAAAACCTATCCTCACGCATAATGTACTGAGGAGATAAGAAACAACTGCTTTTTATTAACTCATTTAATCTATTACTCCACAAATATTACAACATGGCAAGTTTGTTTTTTTTTCGGCTGCTGCATTGGGTCTTTGTTGCTGTGCGCGGGCTTTCTCTAGTTGCGGCGAGCGGGGGCTACTCTTCGTTGTGGTGCACGGGCTTCTCATTGCGGTGGCTTCTCTTGTTGCAGAGCATGGGCTCTAGGCGCGCAGGCTTCAGTAGTTGTGGCACGTGGGCTCAGTAGTTGTGGCTCGCGGGCTCTAGAGCGCAGGATCAGTAGTTGTGGCGCACGGGCTTAGTTGTTCCGCGGCATGTGGGATCTTCCCGGATCAGGGATCGAACCCGTGTCCCCTGCACTGGCAGGCGGATTCTTAACCACTGCGCCACCAGGGAGGCCCCAACACGGAAAGTTTTAAAGTAGAAGCTGGACAACCCCTTGGCAGTGTGCCAACGCAAATGCGTAAGAACCACAGAGGACGTTGTTAACATGAAAAAATACTGGGCCATACATGCTAGAGATTCTGACTAAGTCAGAGATGAGGCCTGGAACCTGCACTTTTCAAGGCTCCTCCAGGTGACTCTGCTGTGCAGTCAGGCTTAGGGAAGAAAGGCATCATCAACTACCTATTTAATCCAGAGAATCTCTAAGGCCCCTTCCAAATGTGAGGTCTGTAACTCTGTGGAACGTTCCCTGTAGTTACAGGAATAAGTAAATGTCGTGGAAACCTGAGAGTCGCTAACATTAAGTGCTTGACTGTGCTTGCATCACGCACCCTGAGCCTTGAGAGGAAGGGCTTCAGGGGCAGGTCTCATGCCCTGTGACACTGCTGTTAACGGTATTTCACAAGCGAGGAGAGGGGATCAAGTGGTAAAGTCACTGCCAGGAAGCGGCAGGGCCCGGATTCAAGCCAGGCCATCCGGCCCCAGCGAGCCACACACAGGCAGCCGGGGCCACCTGGCCACACAAGGCGCCCGCGGTCCAGCCAACAAAACGCACTCAGATGACCACCCAGTCAGGAAGCTTCACCTTCAGAGCTTCCGTAAACATTTAATAAGTGCCAGGAAGTTCACAGTTTACATTTTTTTAAATGATAGAATAGAAATTGAGAAGAAAATTTAGGGAGAGCCTTCCTAAAATAAAAGGAATTTAAAAATTACATTTTAGAAGAGCTACAGACATGAGTGCATAAAACTAAGTTCCATGCATTAGAACTCATTGAAAAAGTTAAAAACAGTGAAACCTGTAAGTTATTAACACCTTCAACATATAACATAAAGAGTTTATCTCAACACAACAGAAAATACAAAGTTGGCAAAGGACTTGAAATCAACAATTTATAGAAACAAAATTGAAAAGTTTAAATAAAACACATGAAAAAACATTCAACCCCACTGTAACGAAAAAGGTCTTGATTTTCCTGTCTCTAAAATGGAATACCATCTTCCTCTGCAAGATTATAAAGATAAAATGGGAGCAAGTGAAAATATTCATTTTCATGAATATTAAAAGAAAATAATGATTTTAATCTAGGTGTCAAAAAGACCTTTGAAAAGTATCACATTTAAGATGCAGGTGCTAGAGCAAGACTGTCTGGATCTATCCTGTGGTTCCACCTCTGGTCACGGGCATGTCACAGGCCAACACAATGATGCTAGGACTGCACCTGGAGCCACACTTCACTTCTCTGCTCTAAGTCTGTCCTGAGGGGTTTGATTAGCCTTAAACAAACTCCGTATGTTATTTTTAAGAACAATAAAAGCCCTGAGTCCTAAGAGTTCCTGCATTAGTCCACGTGGACTTAACCTCTAACTGATCTTTAATCTGCTGTACTGTGTGTCTTCTGGGTTCTGCCCACGAGGGACAGTGGATCCAAAGCATCTGACACCACTCCCACCACCTGCCCCGGCAGACGTCACTGCACACCACCCACACCGCGAGACACCTGCACCTCTGCAAACCCTCCGGCCATCCTCTCGGTCTCCGAGATCAAGCCAAGTCATGCTCGGAACCCTCAGATGGTGCCGCCAATGGACTGGTCTATGCCAAAGTTGAGATAACTGAGGTCAACGACCTTTCCCCCTTGCCTCTCAAGGCAATAACCTCCATCCCTAAGAACACCACCCTGCCCCTCACCCCAGTCTCCTAGTCTCCACTATTATTGTACCTCATTTCCTTCCTCATCCTTGGGATTTTCTTCTTTCGCAACCCTTTGTCTGCTGTTCCTTCTAAGAGCTGCTTTCTGTTCTAAACTCCCCATTTCTTCAACCTTTGGCATCTTCTAGCTTCCTGCTGCCACCCCTAAACCACTACACTTTCACTTGCATATAAAAACTCTCCCTCAATCAAGAAAGCACGTAAGATCTGGCCATCCTACCCTTAACCCTCACCCTTCTGTGGTCATGGCTAACCTCCCCTCGCCCACTAATGGCCTGACCCATGGTTTCTCCATCCACCCCGACTTCTGCCCTAACCTGCTCTGTGTCCAGGCAGCTCCTGGACCTGAACAGGGCCCCTCAAAAACCAAGAGCTTCCATCTCTCACTCACCCCTCCCCAGGTCACAAATCTAGAATCATCAACCTCAGGAGGCCCACTAAGATGAGGACTGCAGGGAGATTATGCTAGAGGCAATTCGGGGTCTTGAACAAAGTGGAAACAGACTGGGGGGTTCATGGAGAATACAGAGGGAGGGATGATGGGAGAGGGCCAGGAAAAAGACTTGTAACCACTGCTAAGGGCCTAGTTAGGGTGAGGGATGCATAATTCACCACAGTGGGTAGCTACATGATGGCTTAATGCCACAAACTAGACTCACTCTTCCCTCTTAAATTATTTTAGCATATACGCATGTTTTTCAAAACAAATATTTTTTGTAAAGCAGAAATATGCAAATGTTTTTATTTTTTTAAAAGATGAAATATCTTTTTTGGGGGGATGTTCCTTTAATACAGAACAATGACATCATATTCAGAGAAATACCTCAATTGACCTGAATGCTCTACAAATGAGATGCAAAGTAAATCAGAAAATACTCTATTTTGTTAAAATATTTAAAATATTATCCATTTTCTATAAACATAGTAAACCGAACATACCAGAACCTTGCAAAGCCTAAACTAAGAGCAGTCACTGTAGTTTTAAACATCAACCAAGACCACATAAACATCCAAACATCATCAACTAAATGGCCTCACAACAATCCCTGTAAACTGTATTATATTTAATTTCTAAACTCTTAGCTTTCTTATGGGTGGCTTTCTTCTCTGCAAAGCAGCATAATGGGCAAGGCGGACTTCAAACTTACTTTGGCAAATTAAACAAATTCACTCATTCATTCACTCATCCAACAAATATCTAGTAAGCACCCCCGATGTGCCAGGAACTGGATTAAGTCCTCGGACTACAAAGGTGCATAGAAACAAATGGCTCCCGACACTGAGGAACTGACAGTCTGGCGGGAGAGACAGACAACGTCAATATTAAATAAACGTATATGAAATGTATAAGCTATCAAAGTCCTGGTACAGCTGTAACATCAATGCAAAAAAAATAAAAGAGGGAAACTGAATCACTGCCTAAAAGTAAGTTTTCTTCATAATTCAGAAATAGCTACAGCTTTTCATTATACAAAATATTTCATGCTCTTTTGGAGAAAAAGGATTAAGGAATATGAGAAATTATTTACTAAACTCTATTTAATAGCTGTTATTTGTGAACAACTAGTTATTTCCTCGCTTGAGGAAGACGAATACTTGAATATGTGTTTATATTTTTGTATCTGTGTCTCTCCGTAGCACCTGAAACGCTGCTGTGCACATACAGATTCCTTGAGAAGCAGCACCCTTCCTCCTGCATTCACTGCTGTATCCCCAGCACTCAGAACAGTACTGCCACGCATGAGACGTGCCTGACATTTCTTGAGTGAATGAATGAAGGAACAGACAACAGGGGTTGGAACAGCTAAGACGACATGAGAAGAATAAACTTGGCCCCAAACAACAATGTGAATAATGCACTTTGCCTCGAGCCAGCTGGTCTGACTTCAAGTCCTCCTTAGATGATCCAGCTGAGTCAACTCAGTTGGTTAGGTCACAAACCTGTGCGTTAACTCTTCTAAACAAGGGAGAGCTGACAGGAGTCAATCGTCATAAGCGGACGGCTTCGTCTCCTACCTCCACGACTGCAGGGGTCTCCCGGCCAGTCGCCATGCTTCTCCTCGCGCTGCCCATGGGCGCCCCTTCCTGCCGCCAGGCCCCCAGCAGCCAGGGGACCTTCTGATGCAGAGCGGAGCCCTCCAGGGGCCTCCCGTGGCTTTCACAATAAACCGGGAGCTGCCTGGCCCTTCCTTCTCTCTGACTTGACCTTCATCTCACTCCCCTCTACCTGCAGTAATTTTCTTGCTGTCCTTCAAGCACTCAGGGCAACTACAGTTTCTGTTCTACCTGCTTAGAACAACCCTGCTTCTGATCTTCAAATGACTTGTGTCTCACTTCACATCTCTGCTCTCACATCACTTACCAACGCCCTCATCCTCCACCACCTTGCCCTGCTTACCTTTTATTTGTAGCAATGACACATTATCTTACGTAACTGTTTGTCCTTCTCGCTAGAATGTCAGCCCCGTGAGGGCAGAGGTTTCTTATTTCATTATCCCTAATTCCTGCGCAGTGTCTGGAACACAGTGAAGACTAAGCACATAATCATTAATGCAATGCAAATATCCCTGTCATCAGAGACA